AATACCACCTCCATATTACCTTATAACAGACATGTTCTTCATAATTCTTTAGCATTTTATCCCATTCTTCTCCTATTACTTCTTTACCCAAATCATGTTGGCACTGTATTTTTAATCCTTGTGTATCCTGTTCGGCCTGAATTAATAATTTATATATTTGACTTGCAGTTCCCTTTCTTTCTGTCTTTTCCTCTAATTTCAATCTTTTTTTCAATAATCTCTTCGAATTTTGCCATTTTTCTACTTTTCCCTTCCTTACTATTCCATTCCCTTCTCCACTTTTCTATTTGAATCATACTAAACCAAGAAATCCCCTCTCCCCCCAAAGTCTATTTTATATTTCCTTTACCTCTCATCTTCTCCATCAGTCTTTTATCCTATTTATCCCTTTATCTTTTAATGTATTCTTAAGAGTTTTTTTAAAGATTTTCTGGTTTCTGGAAACCAGATACTGTACTCTGGTTTCTCTTCAGATGATATAAATCTTTTGCCTTTTATAAAGGTGTCATTTTGGAAGGAGTGGCTATGCTCATCTACGCAGGACCCTGAGACACCAAGCAAAACAAGAGGCAAAAACTACCATACTCAGTGTGGTGTAGTGGATAGAGTGACAGACTTGCGCCCTGGAGAGCAGGGTTCAAATCCCTGCTCAGCTATGGAAACTTATGTGGGGAGATCTGGCACTGGTAAAGCCACTCTTTAAATATCTCACCTTGAAAACTGTAATAAGTCAGTTTCCACTGGGCAGGATGTCACTCACACACACACATACCCGTATTTTAATGTGACCTTTCATGGATCTTTTTGCTGTCCTTCCATAAGCAAAAGCAAAATGTGCTGCTTATATGCCGCTCCATAGCGCTTCAAGCACTCTCTCTGGGTGTTTTACAAGTGAATGATGGAGGCAACACATTGCCCCCTCCCCACAAGCCGAGTGCTCATTTTACCGACCTCGGAAGGACAGAGGAGGCCGAGTCGACCTTGAGCCAGCTGCCTGGGGTTGAACCTCCAGGTCGTGAGAGCCCAGTTTGGGCTGCAGGTCGGCCCTCGAGCCGGGAGGAAGACCTTCCGCTTCAGGCAAGCTTTTCCTTAGTGACTGGCTGGAAGCGGTTTTAGAACGGGACAGTTTATACTTTTGTTGCCTTTAACTCTGTTCTAGTAATGCTTTTTTACATGACATTTTTAATGTTTATTTAAATCTGTTCTAGTAGTTGAATAACTTTTTTTTTAGTTTTTAATATTGTAAACATCATTTTGAGTCCTTTTTTAGGAGAAAGGTGGGGTCAGAATATTTTTAAATAAATAAATAAATACATGCCGGTCAAAATGAATATGATGGATAAAACTGTGTCATCATTATGTTGGAGTTGTAAAAAAGAGAAAGGAACGTATTTACATATGTGGTGGCTATGTGAAAAAAGAAAGAAAGAATGGAAAGTAATATTTAGGGAAATAACTGAAATTATGGGATTGAATATTTCAATGTCCCCAATAACAGCTTTATTGAATTTGAGTAAAGAGCAATTGGTGAATGAAAATAAGGATTTAATAATAATAATGATTACGGCTGCAAGGATAATTATGGCAAGGAATTGGAGAAATGAAAATCAATTTAACCTTGAGGAATGGTATAGAGAATTGTGGGATATGGCTATTAATGATAAACTGACATGCGATATGAAAATAAGCAGGGGCCAAATGAAAAATAATGACTTTAAAAAAATATGGAACGTATTTTTAGAACATGTATTTCGGAGAGGGAGGGGGTATACACCGAGTGAAGAAACATTGAAATTTTGGAATGAAAATGGATGGAAAGAAGTGTAATGCTAGTCCTGTAAGTAAGTAAGTAAGTAAGTAAGTAAGGAAGGAAGGAAGGAAGGAAGGAAGGAAGGAAGCAAGCAAGCAAGCAAGCAAGCAAGCAAGCAAGCAAGCAAGCAAGCAAGCAAGCAAGCAAGCACGTAAGCAAGAACTTGAGGACCAGATTATTATCCGCCTTGTGCATTTCTGGTTTAACAGATTAACTCTCTAGGTGTGACTCATCAAATGGTTTGTCTCCGTGTGTGTGTTCCTGATCTTGATGGTGTATCCAGAAAGCACTCTTCTTCTTATTTTGCCCTTGAGGTTTGGGGTGTGAGGCTTCTGTTTGGAAAAAAAAAAGAAGACAAAAACAGGCACTCTTTTCCTCCTTTTTTCTGTTCTGGGATCCTTCCCTTCTGTGTCTTTGTGAAGGATATGGCTGTTTAGCGTTGGCTGCCTGTGTTGACGAGAGTCACGTTGGCAACCCTTTGGGTTTTCCTTCTCACAGCCTTAGGTCTCTGTTGTGTGTGTTTCTTCTCTCACCTTTTTGCAAAGGTAAACATGCTCAAAGGTAAACAATCTGACTGAGTAGCTCTGTGAATTGAGTGCCTGGCTTTGGAGCCAGAGGTTGGGGGTTCGATTCCCTGTGTTGCTCCCTGTGAGTAAAGGCAGCCTGCGTGGCTGCGGGTCAGCTGTAAGGTGGTGTCAGGGCACCTCCAGAAAAAAAAGGAAACGGCAACCCATTTCTGGCTATTGTCTCCCAAGGAAACCCTGGGAAAAGGGTTGACTTGAAGGCACACGATGATGATGATGATGATGATGATGATGATGATGATGATGATGATCAACCTGCTCACATGTGGAACCTTCCCTCTTGGCCAGTGGTTCCACGGTGGATCCCTTTGGTTTCTCTTCTCTGCCTCCTGTTGGGCAGAGGGTGACATCTTTTGCTCTTCCTTTTTGCCACCCCCCGCCCTTGTCTCCTCCTCCCCTCTCTTGCAGGGCCAGGCCCTGTCTGGGAGGGGAAGGGTAGCCACGGAGTCACAATGGGTGGGTGGGTGAGTCCGTGGAGGGTCTTGAAATCCTTTGGAAGAGGAGGCTGAGGCTCTTGGGTGGGGCTCTCCAGCCTGACAAAGTGGGTGTGATGATGAGCAAGCGGGCAGGCAGGCGGGCAGGCAGGCGGTATCTCCTGGTCCTGCCCAGGCTGCTCGATCCCCAGCTACATCTCCTTTCTCTTCTAGGTGTGGGGACAGCGCCGCGACATGCCATCTGCAAGGTAGGTCCCTGCAGCACCCATTTCTGCAAGGCTGGAGGGGGAGTGTTTTGAGATGCAGATGCTGCCCTGCTTGGCCTCTCAGGCCAGCTGTTCCCCAAGGAGGGGCCTGGCAGTGGCGTCCTGCGCCGGCACCCTCTTTTCCTGACCAAAGGCACCTCCTCCAGCAGCCCCTTGAGGGGGAGGGAGGGAGGGAGTGCAGCCTGCTTCCTTTGAGCCGGCACCCCCTCGGAGAAGGCCAGCTGGGAGCCGATGGAGGCCTGCCCTGGCTTTTGATGCCTGCAGCCTTTCTTTGTTCCTGGTGTTTGCAGGGAGGGAGGTGGCTGGACAGCCGGCTGCCCCACAGCCTGCCAGGTGTGAGGGGCCTTTCCCATGGCTCCATCCTGGAGCCGCCAGGCCGTGGGGTGCGGGGCCACCTTCTGGCTGTGGCTGCTGCAGCCTCTTCTCCTTCTCCCCGGCAGGTCCAGCACGTGGCGTCCCTCCAGGTGGGCTCCATCCAGGCCGGGAATGCTGTAGAGTGCGGGCAGTGCTTCAGTGTGGCCTGGATGCCCTCTAAACCCCACCAGCACCTCGCGGCTGGGTTCTATGACGGTAAGCAGGGGAGGACGCCTGGGGTGTGTCCTTCTCGGGGGGGGGCAGGAGAGGGGGAGACTTTTTCTGTGGCTTCCCCTGCTTGTCTTGCCCATTTGTGCCTGCCCTCTTTGTAGGCACCGTGGCCCTCTGGAACCTGAGCACAAAGTCCCTGCTGCAGAGAGTGCGTCAGCCAGACGGCGCCCTGAAGCTCTACCCCTTCCGCTGCTTCCTGGCCCACGACCAGGCCGTGCGCAACATCCAGTGGTGCAAAGCAAACAGGTGGGGAGGAGGAGGGAGCCAGGGCGCCCTGCAGCTGGCTGGAGAAGGCTCTCCCCATCCCTGCCCCCACCCCTGGGGTGCCTCTGCGGACCCCTTCTGCTTTGGGGGGGAGAGATGGGCACAGGCAGCAACCCGTGGGCAGGGCAGAGCAGACCAAGGGCTGCCCAGCCCATCATTGCCTGGTGGCTCTCCAGGCCTGCTCCAAAAGAGCCTTGCGTGGGGACACCAGCCAGAGCGTGGGCACTGGGGGGGGGCATGAGGGCTTCCTGTGAGCTTGTGACACTGTCCGGGGGAGGGCCAGGCAGAGGGTCCCTCCCAATCCCAGTGGGGCCTCCTGGCAGCGGCGGCGATGGCGGTTCACCAAGGATCCAGGCGGGGGGTGGCCCTCACTCCCTCCCACCCAGGGACTCCTGGGAGAGAATGGCCAGATCCTGCTGGGGCCTGGATCCTGTCAGCAAACCACAGCACTTGCCTGCCTCTCCCTCTTTCTCCTCCCCCTCCCCTCCCCTCCCCTCCCCTCCAGCAATTTCATGGTGACGGCAGGGAATGACCGCAAGGTCAAGTTCTGGGACCTTCGCCGGCTGCACGAGCCCCTCAACAGCATCAAGCGCTTCCTGAGCACCGAGACGGCCTGGCTGCTGCCCTACAGCGGGGTCACGGTGGCCCAGGACAACTGCTACGCCTCGTGAGTCTGTCGGGGAGGGTGTGGGGGTGGCAGGCCCTGGCTGCAGAGGCGCTGGGCCCCTTGTGGCCGAGCCACTGGCCACCGACTCTGGGGTCACCCCTCAGCTCGCCTCCCCCCCCCCACGAGAGACAGGGCTGGGCTCCTTCTCCGGAGGGGAGGGTGGTCTTTCCCACGAGGCCTCTGAGCCCTCAGTGGCCACGGCAGCCACCCAGGGCCAGCCTTTGCCCTTTCGGGCGGCGGGGAGGGGGGCAGAGCCAGGGGCCCGAGCGTTTTCCATGCCAGAATCCGCTCCTTCAGGCAGGGCCTCCCATGGAGCAGGCTTGCCCCACTGGGTCCACCCCATCGGTTCCTGGGTTCACCTGTCAACCACCAAATGAACCCACCACCACAGTGGGACTGCTCCCCTCCCCTCAAAACATGGGCGGCTTTGCTCGGCGGCGGGCCAGGTGGGCCTCAGCCTCCCCTTGTGTTGCAGGTATGGCCTGTGTGGAATCCACTACCTGGACGCCGGGTACCTGGGCTTCCGAGCCTATTTTGTGGCTCCTCGCAAGGGCACGGTGTGGGTAGGTTGAGCTTTCTCCCTCCCCTCCCCTCCCCTCCTCACCCCCCTGGCCTAGCCAGGGGCCCCTCCTGGCGGGCAGGGGACGGGCCTTGGTGCCGGAAGGGTCTCAAGAAAGAGGGCGCTCTTCCTCCTGCAGAGCATCTCCGGATCCGACTGGCTGAACACCGTAGGCGCTGGCGACGTCACAGGGGAGCTGGTGGCTGCCGTGATGCCCGACCTCTCTGTCAACCCCCACAACATCAAGCGGCCCTCGGAGCGCCGGTTTGTAGGTGTCACCGTGGCTGGGGGGGGAGGGTGGAGGGGGAAGCCTGTCGCTTTGCCTCTGGTGACGCAGGTTCCAGAGTGAGAGAGCAGACCCTTTCAGTGGCCCTGTCTGTGCAGGGCCGGCCTCCTGCCACCTTCCTTGCCTCTTTGGTGGGCAGGGCAGCAACCCCGTCATCCCACGCTCAGAGGCAGAGAGGTGGCTGGAGATGTCTGCGCCGGGTCCTGCCTGGGATGCAGGTGGGGGGAGGAGAGCAGCCATCACCTCGGCTGGAGCCCAAGACGCAAGGGTGCCGACGATGCCGGCGGTATCTAGGCCAGCAGCAGGTTCCTCAGGAACTCTTGAGAAGGAGGGGAAAGGGCCAAGGGGCCCCCAGGGGTGAGGCCACAGAGCTGTGAGCACTCGCCACAACCGGGGGCAGGCCTGACTGCAGGACAGGCAACCATCGGCTCCAGTTACAGGAAGCCAGATTTCGGCTGAATATCAGGACAAACTTCCTAACTGTTAGAGCAGTACAACGATGGAACCAGTGACCTCAAGGGGAGGTGGCAAGCCCTCCAATACTGGAGGCTTTCAAGAAAAACTTAGATCATCCCCTGGCAGATCTGCTTTGAGCAGGGGGTTGGACTGGATGGCCTTATAGGCCCCTCCCAGCATCTCTTCTCTATGGTTGTCTGAAGCCCTCCAGGCTGGCATGCCGTGGGGCAGTGAGCCTGCTGGCCTGAGCGGCTCCCAGAGGTCCAGAGGTGTGTGTGTGTGTGTGTCGCCCCCCCCCCCGGATTCCCTAAGACCCTTTGTGGGGCAGGGGAGCGGCAGGGGTGTCCCCAGGGCTGGGACAGGGAGGGGTCCACCTCTGAGCGTCCACTGCTGTGCCCACAGCCCGTCTACAAGGCCAGCCTGCTTCCCTGCAGCCTGCTCAGCAAAGAGGCTGCCTCAGCAAGATCCCCAGAGAGGACCCCCGTGGAGGGCAGGACCTATAGCGAGTCCGTGGCCCAGAACTACATCCTTTTCCAGGATCCAGATCTGGTGAGCAAGGAGGCTGGAAGCCCAAGGGCAGCTGGAGTTGGGGTGGTGGGGGGGCAGAGAAACAGGCTGCACTTGCAACCCTCTTGAGCCTGCGGGAGGCCACGTGGGGCCAAAAAGCAGTGGGGATTCAGGGGCCCCACTTGTACCAGCAGATGGATCTGTCTCTGCGGCTGGGGGGAAGCTGTGGGGGAGAGGTGGGAGAACCGTCTTTCCCCGCACCCCTGCCCTGGCCCTGTTTTCCACCACTTCCTTCTCCCTCCCTCCCTCCCTCCCCTGTTGGTGGCCTGCTTCTGGCTGATAAAGCCCCTTCCCAAGCCCATTTGTTCTCAGCTGCCAACGGGAGGCCCAGGGCCTTCTCCCCAGGGAATGGCGCCCCCCCTCCCGCCTGGCTCCCTGCGCTGGTCCAGCCAGCTGTTCACACCCCTCTCCCGCCTCGCTCACATCTAGAGGAGCTTCAAGAACGTCTTCCGGCAGAAGCCACGCGGCCCCCATCACCCCTTGCCCGAAGCGAAGGAGGGCGGTGGCCTGGGACGGCTGCAGCTGGAAGCCATACACAAGGTGAGCGGTGGTGAGGGGGGAAGAGAGATGGGCGGGGTGGGGGGGAGAGTCCCCCCTCCCTTCTTCTCTCATCTTGGCAGCCATGGGCCACTCTCAGTCGCTGGAGAGGCAGAGGGGGAAGGAGGGGGCTGGCTTGCCAGGGGGGTGGCAGTGGGTTCACGGGGGGGGGCTCGCCCATTCCCACCTCATTGGGCTCCCCTTCCGTCTCTTCCCGGCAGGTCCGTTTCAGCCCCAACCTGGACTGCCACAGTTGGCTGGTCTCCGGGGGCCAGTCCGGGCTGGTGCGGCTGCACTGCCTCCGGGCGCTGGCCTCCCCGCTCAGCCACAAGCTGCTGCGCGAGTGCCAGGCCCAGTTCAGCGCCATGTTCGACCGAGGGGAGGGCGACGACACCTGCCCAGAGAGTCCTCCTCCTGAGGTGCTGGAGGCAGTCAGCTGAGCGGTCCCTGGACGGCAGCAGCTCCTCGGCCTGACCAGTCTTGAGGCGGGGCGGGGGGGCGCCTCTGTGGAGACAGCCCCCCCATGCAGGACAGCGGCAGTGGGGGGCTCCTGGTTGGCCAGCTTGAGAACATCTGGAGAGGAATGTCGAGCGGCGCCTCTCCCTGCCAGCTGCTGGACCAAGAAGCCTTCCTCCTCCTCGGCGGGAGTGGGACCGGGACTTTGGAGGAGGGAAGGAACCTTCGCATTGACCCCTGGCCCAGGAGGGGACTGTGGATCGGGGCCAGCGGCAGGGTTGCCTGCAGTGAGACCCTCACCCTCCTTCCTTCCCTTCCATGTGAGGGCCACAGCCTTGCTCACATTGAGCTGTTTTCTTCCCTGTGGTTAAAAGTATGTGTTGGTTTCTACTCGTGTGGTTGCTGCTTGTTCAGTGGGTCGGCCGGCCCGGCTGCGGAGCCCGGAGCTGGAACTTCAAATCTCTGCCGCATCTCCAAGTCAGTCTCCGCTCGAGCGGCTCGGACGGGGGCTGCCGAAGGCTTGGCTTTAGGGTTTTCCCAGAAGAGGGTCCCTTTTGCCTGGGATTGATGGGAGGCCCGTCGTTAAGCATCGTGGGGTTTTTGTCCAGGAGCTTTGCCCACCTCGGGGGTGGGGTGGGGTTGAGCAGCGACTCGCCAGTCCTCCTCTCCCGGCCATGGGGCACAGGTGCTTCTCCTGCGCCTTGCAAACGCCCTCCCTGCCAGGTGGGGTCCTCTTCAGGGGGAAGAGATTAAGGGCTCTGGGTGAAGCTGCCACCAGGGTTGGTGCGCTCCCGTTCACTTTCTGGCTGGAGCGGGTTGGGTGGGCAGAAGCCGGGTGGCCCTCTCTCTGCAGGGCGGCCTCCCACTTCCTGCCGTCAGCGCAGCCGGTCTCCACCTGAACCTTTCCGGGTGCTAGTTCTTCTCTTCCAGGTGAGCGGTGGTGAGCTGCCTGCCTGCCTGCCTGCCTGCCTGCTGCTCCGGCTGCTCAAGAGCACCCAGCCAGCACGAGCATCCAGGGTGATGGGCCAACCCGCTCCACCTTCTGGCACCCAGGGGCGCTGAGCGCCCCCCCTCCCCAATTCCTGGTGGATTGGGCCGGAGATGAAGCAGGGAAGGAGAACCACAGGGCGGATGGGGCTGACCTGAGTCATTCTGTTGATGGTCCCTCCGTCCCCCACCCCACCCCCCGGCATCTCCCCTACCCCAAGAACTGGCCAGCTGGGTGGAGGCAGGTCATTTTATTTGGAGCCACTGGTACACACAACATGGTAAAAACACACACATACACAAACCCACGTGTACGCACACATGCACACACACACACACTGACGTCTACAAGATCCGACAGAGACAACACGAGCGGGCAGGAGTGGCTTGGCCTGGCACCCCTCAGTGTGGTGGCAACAGCACTTTCTCTACTCCTCTTCCTTGTTCTTTTTGGGCATTTAGGGAGGGGGCTAGATGAGCCCCCAGAGCAGCCGCTGTGCCCCTCCTCGGAGGGTTGGCAGTGGGCGGCCTTGCTGAAACGGGGAGCGAAGGGCTTAGGCAGCTAGGGAGGGGGCAGTGGGGCAGAGCATGTGGGGAGAGGAACGGCAAAGCGCCCCCCCACCTGCAGCTGGCCACCCGGGGCACGTTTTCTGAGCTGCCAGTCAAAGAGCCACTGGTGGCGACCCAGAAGGCCTCTGTGCTCAGCATCCTTGGTCAGCGGTGGTGATGGGGAGGGGGAAGGAAGGAAGCCCCTGCCTTGCACCCCCTTGCACTGAACGCAGAGGAGGAATGGCAGACCGTGGCTGATGCCGGCCCGGCCAGGGAGGTGCTGGGAGGCTTCCTGCGTGCCTGCCCCCCCCCAAGTCTTGCCCTCTTGCTTCCTCATCCAGCTGCTGGCCTGAAGGAGGTGCCTGTTTCATTACATACAGCAGCCACGGATACCCAAAGCTGGCCTTTGCACCCTTTTGCTGCCCCATACAAGATGTGGGGTGGCCTAAGGGCCCCCGGGGTGGTGGGGCTGCTGTCGCGTTAGTCTCCTGCCACAGCCCATGGTTGGGGTCGGTGCTGGCGGGAGGCTTGTTGCCTTCCAGATGTTACGAACGATGGCTCCCATTTATTCGCGAAGGCCTCTCCACGGGCCAGCCTGGCAGGGGCGGGTAGGGCTGGCAGTCCAGCCTGGCCAAGGCTGCAGGTTCCCAACCTGATCCCCAGGCAAGCTTGTCCACGAGAGGAGATGCAGGATCGGGCTGGGCCCAGGCAGGCTCGGAAGCCGGCTCTGGCTCCCAGCCGTGGCTGAGATCCCTGGGGATCCAAGCCGGCCCTTGAGGCCTCCTTTCCGCAGCCAGTCCCGGCGGCCACTTCCACGGCCGGCAGGAGTCAAGCTGGCCCCCCTCCCTGCCTTTCCCCTGCTGTGGCAAGAAGGGCTTGGCAGTTCCTCCCCAGGCTCACGTCCTGCTACTAGCATGACACACACATGCAAAAAACGGACATGCAGCCACAGCGACCAGACCGGCCTGGCCCCCTGGGCCGGCCTGAACCCACAGAATAGCTTGGCCAGAAGCGGCTGCCCGGCTCAGGGGGCACCGGCCTCGACCCCCTTTTTGCACACGAAAGACACAGGCAAATGGACATAGAAAGCAGCAGTCAGGAAAGCCAGGGGCCACCTCGGCAGCTGGCTGGAATGTGACCTGGAGGAAGGATGGGGCCCAAGGTGGGCAGGAGAGGCAGGTGCCCATCCCCACCCCAGCGTGCTCAGGTGGGGCGTGGGCAGTGGGGAGCCCCTGGCCGTGGTGGTGGGCGAACGAGGCCCACCCGGGGTGGCCCCAGGCCTTCCTAGGCATCTCGGGGGAGTGGCAGTTGAAGAAGGCGGGTGCCTCGGGTTTGGCGGTCCTCAGTCTCGCGGGTCACAGCACTGGCTGCAGGTGCCCATCGCCTCCTGATAGCCCTCCACCTGGACGGTGCAGGAGATGAAGCCAAACTTGCTCTGGAGCAGGCCCGTGGCTTCCCGGACCACCCTCTCCGTGTCAGCGCCGGACTCTGGAGGGCGAAGCAAAGGGTGTGGAAGCAGAATGCCAATCCTCTTCCTCCCCCCCGCCCCCCATGCCTAGGTGTGAGCCGAATGTGATGCGCAGGAAGGGAGTGGACAGGACCTGCCACCTGCAGGGACCACGGCTGGTCACAGAGGGCCCCCCCTGCCCGGCCTCTGGGGCTGGGTGTAGTTCAACCCCCAGATCTCCAGAAAGGGAGGGGGAGCTGTGGCTGTTGGCCCGAGGTTGGCTGGACCAAGTGGCCTCGTTCAGTACATGGGGGTGGAGGTGGGGGGGGGCAAGGGAGGAGGCAGCTTCCCTTCCAGGAGGTTTTGGGACACTCCCCCAACTCTCATTCCCTTGCCCCCCCCTCCTGGTTTTATCACTGAACAGGAGCAGAAGATGAAGAGGAAAGTGTTCTGAAACCCTGACCCTCCCCCCACCCGATCCCCCAATTAAACCTGGCCTGTGTGATGGCCATTAGCCAGCTTCCCCCCCCCCGCCCGCCCCCCCGCTCCCATCCGCCTGGGAGGGCCCAGGGGAGGCGAGGGGGGAGGAGGGGCAAGGCTCACCGACCACCAGGTGCACAGCCACCATGTGATGGCTGAGGGTCAGCGCCCACAGGTGCAAGTCGTGGAGATCCTTCACGCCCTTGATGGAGAGCAGCACCTCCTTCACGGCACCGAATGTCACGCCCCGAGGGGCTCCTGGAAAAGAGAGGGGGGGGAGAAGGAGGTGGTGGTTCCCCCCCTTCCGGTCTCTCCCTTTGGGCCCAGGAAGGGCTGCTTCAGGGTGGCTTCCAGGCCTGGGCCCCTGGAAGCCAGAGAGGGACCGGGAAAGGAGGCTTCAGGAGAAGTGGCACAAGCACACGCACGCGCACGCGCACACACCCCTCCAGCCACATGCAGAGAACGTGGGGTGGGGTGGTTTTCTGCAGTGGCCGAGCGGGGGGGGGAAGGGGCCAGCCTGAGCAACGAGAGCCCCCCCCCGGCCCTCTGTCCTGCGGCCCTTCTCAAGGAGAAAGGTGGGGTCAACCTATTTCGAGCAGGGTCTCCCAGCCGTGGGTCATCCAGGGGCTTTCCGAGGGCAGTTCTGAGAAGCCCGAGTGGCCGCCCAAGAACCCCCGGGCAACCCAAGGTTGGGGAGCAGGAGCTCTCTAGTCTAGAGCCCGCTCTAGTCTCTTGCCCCTCCCCACCCCAGACCCCCAATAGGGGTCCTCTGGAAGCAGCAGCAGGCCGGGTCTGGCTTACCTCAGTGGTCCCTGGTCTTTCTTCGTTTCTATCCCCCCCCCCACGCACCACCACCATGTCCTCCCAGGGATGTAGCACCTCTTCCGTATGGTGGGCGAACCCCTTCCCTCCTCCCTGGGCCATGCGCTCAGGCCTTGAGACATGGTCTTCGACTTCGTTAGCCTAAGCTGCCCCTATCAATGAACTTTCTGTAAATGAACTTTCTAGTCTTTTGTTTTAATCTCATCCTCTGCCTGGTTTATGGCTCTGTGGAGCAGGCTGTAAGGTCAGTTTAAATATCAAGGTGGGTCAGTAATTAGTCTATCTTACCATTTTAATTTGTTTTGTTTTTTCCCCTATCCGTATCCATGATGTTAAATGGTGCAACACTCCACTGAGTGCTCACAGGGAAGAGGGCGGCTGTTTTCCTCTGCTCACAAAGAGACCTCCTGCTCCAAGGACGGAATAGCCTGGACCAAAATTTACAACCCGGAACGCCCGCTGCCTCCTCCGACCAGGGCCGAGGCTCCTCCGGGAGACCGGCTGCCCTCTTTCGGAGACCGTCCTTTCCCTCTTCCTCCTAGGGGGTGTAGGGAACCTTCTCCTGTTCCCCTGCCCATGGGGCTTCTAAATGGGGACTCCCCCGTTTCCCATGGCGGATTTTATGGCCACTGCCCCAAAAGGGTGGTTGGTGCCTGTGATGGTGGGGAGCGAGAAGGCCACAGGAGGAAGAGCTGTCCCTGAGAGCGGGACAGGATTTTGCGGCTGGCCGAAAGGGCAATTCCCTGTTTCAGAAAGTTCGTGCCCACGCCCGTCCCCGAGGTTGCAGGCTCACCTTCCATGAGGACACGGAAGACGTCCCGGAGGATCGTCAGAGTGGAACCCAGGACAAAGATGGAGAAGAGGAAGGTGCTGACCGGATCGGCAATCTTATACTGGGGCTGCAAAGAGAGGGGGGAGGCCAGGCTGAACTAAAGTCCGGGGGGGGAGGGACAGCCACCCCGCAGCCCCTCCCAGAGTGGAGGACAAGCCCCACCCCCACCCCGGTCTCTTCAGGAATAGAGGAAGAAGGCACCTCAAAACCACCCACCCTTCCCAAGCCACCCTGTTCAGGCCCTCCCTCTGGCCAGCTGCTCCTGCTCTGGGGGGGGGCTGGAGGAAGACCAAACCCCCGGAAAAGGGACCCTCTTCTTTTCCAGCCACTGGTCCCCAAGTAGGTGGGAGGGGTGCACTCTCAGTTGCCGGGGGGGGGCAGGGAGAGAGGGCGGGAGGGAGGACATCACTCCTGCAAGCTCTGCATAAGCCACAGCATGTGAGGAACCAGGGTGGGAATGGGGGCACCACTGGCTACCCACCTCCTCCCAATGTTGCAGAGGGACCGCGCACCCTCCCCAACACACACACACACAAGAGAGAGAGAGAGAGGTCACCTCTCCTGTGCTGGCCCCCTCCCCCTCTACTCTGGAAGGGGCAAAATAGTGGTTGCTATTGGGAGGGGGGGGAATGGTCACTCCCAGGGCAAGCCGAGAAAGCCCCCCCCCCGTCCACTTGCCCCGTACCTTGAAGTAGATCACCGTGGCAGCCACAAAGACCCCGATGCTTTGGAGGAGATCCCCCACAACGTGGACGAAGGCCGCTCGGATGCTGGTGTTGCTGCAGGTGGGCGGGGGGCCCCCGCAGGGGCTGTCGCCGATCCGCTCGTAGCCCCCGGTGCCCAGCCCGTGGCTGTGTGAGGAGCCTGACTGGTGTAAGAGGTAGGCCATGCTGCAAAGCGAGACCAGGGCTGGGACCCACAGCGTGCGTGGGGGGGGCCTTCCCCCCCTCCTCCAAGGAACTGCCACACCACCCACCTTCTTCGCCCTGAAGATGGCTTGGCTCCAAGCTCTCTCAAGGACCGCCTTGCCCCCTCCCTCTCTCAGCCTGCCTGGGAGTTCAAAGCATTGCCTTTCCCTCCACCTCCCCAGGTGCATTTGGAGGGTACGCGAGCGGGGAAGAGGAGGGCCTTCTCTGTGGCTGCTCCCAGACTGTGGAACTCCCTCCCACTGGAGGCCAGGCTGGCCCTCTCTTTGCTGCCCTTCTGCAAAGCAGGCCAAGACTTTTTTCTTCAAGTTAGCTTTCCTTTTAGTGACTGCCTGCCCGAGAGGGTTTTTATTTTTAATTTTTAAAACGGATTGCTGTCCCTTGCTGCCTTGAGTTCATTTTTGGTGTTGCTTCTGTTTACTGTCTTTTAGTGCACTACTGTTTGATCTGTTTTAATATATGAATACTTACTGTGTTTAGCTTTAAATATGACTTTCAAGGATGTAAGCCACCTTGCGTCCTTTTTAAGGAGAAATGCAGGGTGAAAATATTTTAAATAAATAAATAAACATTAAGAACAGAAAAGCAGCTGCTGCAGGCTGGCAGGACTTGGCACTAGGTAGGTACAAATAACAAATCACTGCCTGCAATTCATTCCTCCCCTCCCCAGCTTAGAACTGCAGAGGTGGACGGGATCTTAGGGCTGACAGAGGGGACGACTGGGCGACTAGATGGGTGGCTCCGTGAGCTGGAGAGCCCTCGTGGCTGCCTTGCCTGAGGCCAGGAACCTGGTCCTCCCCGGAGAAGAGCCCACCTGTGTGCCGTGAGTGGCAAGCTCCGCGTTCCCAGGGCACCACCAGAAGGCGGGCCTAGCGCACGGTTTTTGAGCTGTCCGCACTTGGGAGCCCGAACGGAGGGGGCTCGTCCATTCGGTGGCAGACCATCACTGAGAGATGGCTCGGGGACTTGGTCTCACCCCTTCTGTGTGTGTGTGTGTGTGTAGTGGTGGGGACTTCATTGTTTGTGCTCTAACAAGGACGCTGGGCATCGTGTGTGTGTTTGGGGGGAGAGTTTCATCAGAGAGTGGGTTTGGTAGAGGGGGGGATGGGCCAAGCTTTGCTATAGGTTGCAGAGACCCCCCCATTCCTGAGGGGGTCACCATGCTCTGAAGTGCATTGTGCAAAAACGGGGGTCTTTGGACAGGAGAGGAGGGCGTCACCAGGAAGAGAGATGAGAGGGGAAGGCTGGCAACCAACACTTTCGGGATGCAGAGCCGGATAAAAATGGAGATGCTGCCACTCCTGGGAAGTGGTCCTTCTTCTCCACGCGCCCAACCCCCCTCCCCCGCTCCCAGTCCCCGCTGACGGGCACCCTGTCCTTGGCTGTGAACCGGAACTGGCTTGTCTGCAGCCCTCCACTGAAGGCCACCCTTTGGCAGGACTGGCCGGCTGGCCGTGGGGGAAGCCTTTTCCCCACGTTCTCAGTGGGATGCCAATAGATGGCTTGCCCTGGAGCTGTCGGGGGGGAGGGGGGTTAAAGCCTTCCTGCCCCCTCTAGCCGGCCTCCTCCACCCCACCCAGGCCCAGGCTGATGTGTTCCACCTGCCCCACCAACCCCCACGTCGCCCATTCCTCACATGACGTTGACTCCGATGGCACAGATCGAGGTGCCCAGCATGGCAGAAGCTTCGATCTCGTAATCGTTGCTGATGATCCGGACGGAAGCCAAGTAGACCAGGACCCCTGTGACGATCCAAATGGAGAGGACGGAGACCAGGGCCCCCAGGGTCTCTGTGGGGGGGGGGCGAAAAGGGACAGCGGAGAAGCCCCAAGTTAGGTGGCTGCCTTTCCTTGCCTCTCAGCCTCTCAGCCTCTCACCCTTCCCTCACTCCGGGGCAGGAAGGGCACCCAATGGGCAGTCCTTCTCCCTTAGCCTTGTCCACAGCTGTGGGATGACCTTCTGAGCCACTCTGCCCAGCTGGAGAGCTTCGCTGGAAGATGACCGCCCCCTGCTGCCCCCCCCCGATGGGCTGGGCTGGGCAGGGCAGGGTAGGGCAGGGCAGGGCAGGCCCTCCTTCAACCCCACTCTCAGCCATGAACAAGACTCATAAGAGGACCACTAGCCCTACTTGCTCACCCCATCACCCCACGGGGGGGGGGCAACATGGGCAGGCCAAACAACCTCCAACCATGGGGCAGTTCCCATGAGCCTCAAGGGCTCCCAGTTGGGGACCCTCAGCTTGGGCGTTGGTGGAGGAAGACGCAAGCTAAGGCAGGACGTTCCTCAGGCACGGTGTGAGGGAAATGGGGGTGGGGGCTTGGAAAAGTGTCTAGATGCCATTGGCAGTGGGGGGGGGGACTCTTACCAGGGGACAAAGGAAGAAGAAACTCCCAAGGATCTGCCAAAGGGATCCCCCCTCCGGTCCCCTCACCTGCTGACAGCTCTCCCCCCTACTCATCTGTGCCAAGCCAAGCTGCCATGCTGCTGAGGCACAGGCTGGTATAGATGGCGAACACCCGGTGGTGCCAACACCCACAGGCACACAAACTGAGTCCTATTGTCAGGGAGGGCACGCCTTGCCCCCCCCATCCCTGCCGGTGCCTGGGAAGGGCTCTGCCAACCTATTTCATGGGTGGGTTGGAGGGAGGGAGGGAGGGAGACGGCCCTCGTGCGGCTGGCTTAGTAGAAGCCATCAGGTCTTTTCAAGGTCTGCCAGGCTGTCAGGGAGGTGTTCAGCCACCAGGCCTTCTTGCCCAAATCTCGCCAATGCAAGACAGCAGCGGCGGCGACGGGCCAGGGGTCAGCAAGGGCAGGGAGGGGGGCAGGGATACCTGAGCGATGCCAGCCGAACGTCATGATTTTGGTGGGTGGCCGAGCGGAGATCCAGAGGGAGAAGAGGCTGACCCCCATGCTGCCCACGTCTGTCAGCAGGTGGGCTGCGTCTGTCATGATGGCCAGGCTGTGGGACAGGTAGCCCCCTGAAAGGGAAGAGAAAGTCTCCAGCTTTGAAGAGGCAGTCGGTCTGAAGAGGGGCCCGACCCCCAGGGATCCTGGTCCAGGCTGGCACTGGGGGGGGGCAGGCAGCGGGGGGGGTTGGCAGACAAGCGAGGGCACCGACACTGGGGAAAGGAGGCTGTCTGGGCCAAGCCGAGCAGGAGGGCTCTCCACCCCCCCCCTTGGCCCCCGCAAGCCAGGCAGTAGGGCTTCGCATGCATCCAGTCCTGGGTGCCAGTTCTGCCATCCTGGCCAGCTGAAAAGAAGGCTGGGGGTCAAGGGAAGGGTCCTCTTTCCTTTTTCCCTCCAGAGGGCCCTGAGGAGCCCTGCCCCCCCCGCATGTGGGGCAGCAGAATCCCTGGCCAGTTCCCCCGGTGCCACCCTTCCCTTGCTAAGCGAAGGGCTGAAGGGCTTCACCGCCAAGGCTTTGCAACGCCATACTCAGTCCAGGTGCTGATGGGGTGCACCACACAGCCAAGCCCACCTGAGAGCAGGCGAGGGAGGCTCGGGAACCAAGATAAGTCAATTCTTGTTGGGCATTTGCTTTCCCATCCAGGAGAAGTCCCTGCTCCCCCCACCCGACCCCCGCATGCTGAGTGTGGGGGCAGTGGCACCCCATGGGCATAGTTTTGGAGGGGACAAGCCACGCGTGGGTCGGGGCTGGTTCTGCTCCTCCCCAGAGCAGTCCCGTGTGACCTGGCCTGAGAGCCCTCCTCTCCCCCCCTCCCTGGTTGTGCAGAAGTGCACCTGCCCAGTGGGCTCCTTCTTTCCCTCTTTCTCTCCAGCCCCATCGCTCACACTTCCACCCAAAGAGGAGCAGAAGTGCCCACCTGCCTGGGGTGGTGGGAGTATGAGAGAAGAGCAGGGTGCCGGGGGGGAGAGGAAGGGAGGGAGGGCAGATTTCCCACAATCCCCTTCAGCAGCAGCACTGACCGATGACCTCCCCAATCATGAAGAGGAAGCAGATGGTGCAGGCCATCCTGAGCTTTCCCCTGGCCTGCAGCTTCTCTTGGCTTTGGCCGGGGGAGCTGGGCCCCAGGTGGCAGTGCCTGGCCAAAGAGGGCTCGGCCCCCAGGCCTGCCAGGGGCCGGTCCGCGCGCCCATTCTCCAGAGGAGGGCCAGAAATAGCGTCCCGGGAGCCTGCAAACAGACTGAGAAGAGAGGAGAGCATTACACCCTCTGCTTGTCTCACCGACGCCCCACCTGCCCTCTGCACAGCTGCAGAACGTGGACATGGCTGTCCTCTTGGTCACCTGCACCCAGCAAGACCCCCGAGAGATGGGTCAGAGTGAATCGTGGCATCGTAGAAGTGTGAACTTGGGAAGGGGCCTCTGAGACCATCCAATCCAACACCCCCCATCGCTCGAGGCAGGAATACAGATCGAAGGACATCGGCCAGGGGGTTGTCTTTAAGTTTCTCTTGAATGCTTCCTGGGTTGGAGGTCTCACCAACCTCTAAGGTAACGGGTTCCACTGTCGTACTGCTCTAACAGTTAGGGAGTTTTTCCTGATATTCAGTCTTGAATAACTTGAGCCCATGGTTGCCTGTCCTGCACTCTGGGATGACTGAGAACAGATCCTGCCCCTCCTCTGTAGGACAGCATTTCAAGGATTTGAAAAGTGCTCTCTTCTCTCCTGTCTTCTTTTCTCAAGGCAAAACATACCCCATTCCCTCAGTGTTTCCTCATAGGGCCTGAGAGGGACCGGACCCAGGGGGACCACATCCCCAAGCCTCATGGCTGGATCTGGCCCTAAACTCCATTTCCACAGTGAACAACCTCATGTATCCAATAAATCCCGGCTTATTCAAGATCTTATTCTGGAGGAGGATGCAGACCTGGCGTGCATAACTCAAACCTGGATGGGTGGGGAAGGAGGGGTTCCCCTAACCCTTTCTTGTCCTCCGGGTTATGCAGTCCAGCACCAGGGCAGACTGGAGGGGCGGGGGGGGGAGTTGCCATTGTTGTAGAAAATCTTTAGAGGTTACAAGATGCTCCTCGGTTGTGAAGCCAGGTCTGGAGGCCCTTCATGTGCGAATTGGGGCCAGGGATGGTACTGGGATCTGGCTGGGTTACCATGCTCCCCGTGACCCAGTCACCTCCCTACCAGAACTGGCGGACTTCATCTCTGCGGCACTGTTGGAGTCCCCGAGACCTCTGGTCCTGGGTGACTTCAACATCCATGCGGAGGCAGTGCTCTCCGGTCCAGCCCTTGAGTTCTTGGAAACCATGGCTTCCTTGAATTTGTCCCAAGATGTCAAAGGTCCCACACACATGGGTGGCCATATGCTCGACCTGGTTTTTTCCACCGAGTGTAGCGAGCATGGTCTGATGGTGACTGACCTTGTGTCAGTCCCCTTGTCATGGTCAGATCACCATCTAATAAAATGTAACCTCACAATTGCGCTTCCTCCCTGCAGGGAGCAGGGACCTATTTTGATGGTCCGCCCTCGAAGGTTACTGGATCCAATGAGATTCCAGGATACCATGAGAGGGATTTCAGCGGTACTGTCTGGCGCTCCTGTCGAAGCTCTGGTGGATGGATGGTTCTCTGCCGCTACTAGGGCCGTAGACATGATCACTCCCAAACGCCCTCTCAGTTGCAGAGCTCAGCCAGGACCCTGGTATAACCAGGATCTACAAGCAACGAAGCGAATAAGGAGACGGCTAGAGTGCATTTGGAGAAGGAAACCGACAGGCTATAATAAAATAGCTGTCAGGATTGCGACTAACCATTACCTGGCCAAGGTAAAGCCTGCTAGATGATCTCACTTCGCTGACCGGATAAATGAAGCTTCCAATCAGCAGGCGGAACTTTTCCGTATAGTT